AGACCCTTCATCAGAAAAGCTTTTCTGATGAAGGGTCGAGGCCCGAAACGTCAGCCTCTCTGCTCCTATGATGCTGCTTGGCCTGCTGTGTTCATCCAGCCCTGCACCTTGTTGTCTCGGATTCTCCAGCATCTGCAGTTCCTACTATCTCTGCTGCAAAGAGAGACATGTTGTCTGAGTTTTTCACCTCGTACGCATCAGGACACTGGCAAGAATGCCAAATTTCAAACACTCGCAACAATTTATACCACAGAAAAAATATCAACGGATGTGAGCATCTGAAATTTTGCATTCTTGCATTTGTTCTGATGAGTGCAAGCTTCAATAATATTTCTTTCTTTTCAGCAGTTGTGAAATTCTAAGTGTGTTGATCAAAACTATGAGAGACTTTGAAACACAATATGGGGAGGGATGTGTATTCTGAGGGGAACCACCAGTCACATGTCTGAGATCACACTGGGCAATCTTCTTCTCAGTGGCAAAACCCGAGGCAGCCGTCAACAACGGAACAACTCTGTGAGATGATTCAGAAAGATGCCCTGACAACGCACTCACCGGCCGAATATCGATGTCACACATCCCTATGCTGGTAGTGACGACGTGACTGACACCCAGCATCGTGTTCCCCGATAGTCCCTGGAAGAACACAAGCAGGCTGTCAAATTCCACAAGCAGGTACAGGCAACATGACATAAGGCGGCAAGGTGGCTTAGTGGTTAGCTCCTGCTGCCTTGCAGCGCCAGGGACCCGGGTTCAATTCCACCCTCAGGCAACTGTCTGGGTGGAGTTTGCACACTCTCCCTGTGCCTGCATGTGTTTCCTCCAGGTGCTCTGGTTTCCTCCCACAGTCCAAAGATGTGCAGGTTAGGTGGATTGGCCATTCTATAGTGTCCTGTGTTGAGTGGGCTAGTTGGATTAGCCATGGGAAATGCAGGGTTACATGGATGGAGTGGATCTGGGTGTGACGCCCTGCAGAGAGTCAGTGCAGACTTGATGAGCTGAATGGCCTCTATCTGCACTGTAGGGATTCGATGATAAGGGACAGGATGAGGATTGGATCCTAAAGGGACTCAATTGCAGAATAAGGGACTCACCCATTTAGGACTGAGGGGAGGAGGGGTTTACTCACTCAGAGGCTGGTGAATCTTAGCAGTTGTCTCATTCAGAGGCTCAGCCATTCAGTATGTTTGAGACAGAGATTGATAGATTTCTAGATATTGAAGATAAGAAAGGAAAGTGCAGGAAAATGGTGATGTACAAGATCTGCCATGATCTTGTTGAATGCTGGAGCAGGCTTGAGGGGCTGAATGGCTTCTTCCTGCTCCTAATCCCCGTGATCCTATGCTGCACTGGACCTTGTCAGGGATGCGGTTTTAATTTGATTTGATTTATTATTGTCACATGTACCTAGATAGAGTGAAAAGTTTTGTTTTGCATGCAGTACAGGCACATAATACCATACGAAGTGTATTAGGGCAATAGAACAGAGCGAGGAATACCATGTTACTGCTGCAGAGAAGATGCACAAAGAGCGAGGTCAACATTTAAATTTAAAATTTGAGAGGTCCATTCAGAAATCCAATAACAGTGGAGGTGAGGCTGTTCTTAAACCTGTTGATACGTGTGTTTAAGCTTTTGTACCTTCTGCATGACAGAAGAGTTTGGAAGAGATTATGACCGGAGTGGGAGGGGTCTTTGATGATGTTGGCTGCCTTCCCGAGGCAGTGGGAAGTGTAGATGGAGTCAATGGCTTGGAGGTTGGCTTGTGTGATGGACTGGACTGTGTTCACAACTTTCTGTAGTTTCTTCCGGTCCTGGGCAGAGCAGTGCTGTACTAGGCCGTGATGCATCCAGACAGAATGCTTTCTATGGTGCAGGAACAAGGATACAGCCATGGCATTCTGGTTGGCCTGCAGTCGGTGAAGCTTAAGAACAGAGAGGTCGCCAAGATGGTGGATAATAAATGGCAGGCCATTTCAGACTGAGAGGAGGAGAAACGTCTTCGCTCAGAGGGTGGTCAATCCAAGAAGGCTGTCATTCAGCATGTTTAAGCCAGGATTTGATTGGTTTCTACATGTTAGAGATATTGAGGGACATGGTCTTGGAGCAGGTCAAAGGCATCATGTTAGGAGATCAGCCATGATCTAGTTGAATGTTGAATTGGGACGTCATGTTGAGGTTGTACAGGAAGCTGGCGAGACCTCTTTTGGAGCACTGTGTACCGTTCTGGTCACACTGCTACAGGAAGGATATTACTAAATTGGAGAGGGTTCAGAAAAGATTTACCTGGATGTTGCCAAGAATGGAAGGTTTCAGTATAAAGACAGGCTGGGACTTTTTTCACTGGAGCCTAGGAAGTTGAGAGGTGACATTAAAGAGGTTTATAAAATTATGAGGGGCATGGATAAGGTTAATAGGTAGTCTTTTCTCTAGGGTGGAGGATTTCAAAACTAGGGGGAATATTTTTAAGGTGAGAGGAGAAAGAGTTATAAAGGACATGGGGGCAACTCTTTTTACACAGAGTAGTTCATGTGTGGAATGAACTGCCAGATGAAGGCATTTGAATAAGTACGTGAGTAGGAAATGTTTGGAGGGATGTGGGCCAAGCACAGGCAGGTGGGACTAGTTTAGTTTGGTATTGTGGTTGGCATGGACTGGTTGGACCGAAGGGTCTGTTTCCGTGCTATATGACTCTGGTGAAGACCTAACTACAATATCACAGTCAGTTTGGGTCACTGTGCTTTAGAAATGATGTGAGGTCCTCAAGAAGAGGTTAAAATCTCCATAAGAGATTTTAAAATATGATTCCAGATTTGAGGGATTTTAGCTACAAGGTTCATTTGGTGAAACTGGGATTATTCTTGGACCAAAGAGGGTTGAGGGGAGATTTGATCCAGGTGTATAAGATTGCAACAGGTTTACATAAAATAAATCATTAGCTTATAGTATTGATGTAACAGATTGCAGGAGATACAGAATTTATACAGCATGCGCAGCATGAAGTTGGTCTGTCATTCTCATGGAAATTCAGTACTCCTCTGTTTTGAATGTAATGAGGTCAGCCGGGTGGATCTCATAGAATCTGAGTTCCCTGATTAGGGCTGTTAGCCTGGTCCAGTCGGGGAGCCCTGGCTGATGAATATAAACAGGAATGTCAGACATTCTGTTCATTCTGAGAGCCAGCTCTAACGGAGCTCGATCAGTGTCAAGGACTCTCTGCGTGTAAATAAAGGGAGGCTTGGTGACAGGATACCGGTCTCTGTGGTGTTATTTCTGAATCGTTAACTGTCTTTTCCAAGTCTGGTGTCATGTGGCTTAGTACTAACGGGTGTAAGATTAAAAGCATCACCTTTGTGGCTCCTTATGACAATCGTTAAAACTCTGAGGTTGTTCATCCACACTTTTTAGAAAGCTAGACCTGTTTGATGGACACCCGATGGAGAAGCGCGGATGCCTTTTTTCCATAATGTGCAGACCACTACCTGGGAGTGGAATTGCTTGCTAGTTTTGACCAGGATGAATTTCTGGATGTCAGCTGTAGTGGAACAGCCTTTGGACATTTGCTATCTCTGTAGCTGAGCTAAGGTGGGGCCCCCGTTCAATACTGTCTGGTGAGGAAGAACTTGCAAAAGTGTTGCACCTTCATCCCACTTGAAACTATCACACAAAAATGCCTCAATTGTGCCTGTCTGACTCAATTATCATACCAATAAATCAGCAATGCAGGAGCTGGTGACTGCCAGTGAACAAGCAGCATCTTAAAATAATTAAAAAAGCAATTAATCTCTAACTGACCTTCAGTAGTGGTTAAGGGCAATTGGACTCTAGGTGACCTCAATATTAGATCTTCAACAGATTGAACCTGAGGCCTCCAATGGACAAGCCACGCAGAGACATACACTTTAATAGCAGAATACTACACAATTACATGGTATACTGCCTCTTAGTCCTCTTGAATCTTTAGAGCTGCCATAAGCAAAGCCAGGGAAAATCTACTTAAAGTAATCATCTGTAGCAATTGCTCAAACCCACTAACAGGTTGGGTTCACAGAAATCATGAAATCCTTACAATGTGGAAGCAGGCCATTCAGACCATCATGTCCACACCACCCCTCCAAACAGCATCCCATCCAGACTCACCCCAATACCCTATCCCTGTAACCCTGCATTTCCCATGGCTAATTCACCTAGCCTGCACACTATGGGCAATTTAGCATGGCCAATCCACCCTAACCTGCATACCTTTTGGACCGTGGAAGGAAACCAGAGCACCCAGAGGAAACCCATGCAGACACAGGGAGAATGTGCAAACTCCACACAGATAGTCGCCCAAGGCTGGAATCGAACCTGGGTCCCTGGCACTGTGAGGCAGCAGTGCTAACCACTGAGCCATGTGCTGCCCCAGGTTCTAGTGTTTCCATCCGTTCACAACAGGACTATGTGCACCGGGATACAAGCAATCTGATTCCCTGCACAAGTTTAACAGACTGGGAGATACCAAGCGCACACAGCCTTAACCCCACACTCATACCTTGACATTGGAGGGATCGAACAGGCCCTCAGGTATCCGTAGCCTCTCAGCTCCATAGTCGCAGTTGTAGCCATTGGGCATCTCATAATGGATGGTAGGCATTTGAGCAGCAACCCTTCAGTGAAGAAAAGACTAGATTTAGGAGGCAACATGATTGCAGAAGGCTGGCTGAGTCCTTGAGAAGTATCATCACACAGGGATAGAAACCATGACACATAATGGTAGGGTCCTAGGGAGTGTTGCTGTACAAAGAGACCTTGAGGATACAGGTTTATAGTTCCTTGAAACTGGAGTTGCAGGTAGACAGGGCGGTGAAGAAGGCGTTTGGTACGCTTGCCTTTATTGGTCAGTGCATTGAGTATAGGAGTTGGGATGTCATGTTGTGGTTCTACAGGAAATTGGTTGGAATAATGCATTCAATTCTGGTCTCCCTGCTGTAGGAAAGTCCTTGTGAAACTTTGAAAAGGTTCAGAAAAGATTTACAAGGAGGTTGCCGGGGCCGGAGGGTTTGAGCTATGGGGAGTGGCTGAATAGTCCGAGGCTATTTTCCCTGGAGCGCTGGAGGCTGAGGAGTGACCTGATAGAGGTTTATAAAATCATAAGGGGCATGGATAGGGTAGACAGCCAAGGTCTTTTTCCCAGGATAGGGGAGACTCATTGTGCGCTGTGACTCAATGGCCTAACACTTCCGCCTCCGAATCAACAGTTCAGGGGTTCGAGTCCCAATCCCGCTGATGGAAATCAACGATCATTCTGATACTTGTAATTTATATGTTCAACCTGATGCTACTATCTTGACAGGGAAAATGTAGAGGAAATTATTGTGGGTGGCATAGTGGTTAGCACTGCTGCCTCACAGCACCAGGGACCCAGGTTTGATTCCAGCCTCGGGCGACTGTCTGCGTGGAGTTTGCACGTTCTCCCCATGTCTGTGTGGGTTTCCTCCGGGTGCTCCGGTTTCCTCCCACAGTCCAAAGATGTGCAGGTTAGGTAGATCGGCCATGCTAAATTGCCTGTAGTGTTCAGGGAGGTGTAGATTAGGTGAGTTATAGGGGGATGGATCTGGGTGGGATGCTCTGAGGTTCGGTGTGGACTTGTTGGGCTGAAGGGCCTGTTTCCACACCGTAGGGATTCTATGATTCTAAAACTAGAGGGCATCGGTTTAAGGTGAGAGGGGAAGAGTTTAAAAGGGACCTAAAGGGCAACTTTTTCACGCAGAGGGTGGTGCGTGTGTGGAATATTCTGCCAGAGGAAGTGGTGGAGCCTGGTATAATGACAACATTTAAAAGGCATCGGGATGAGTATATGAGTAGGAAGGGTTTAGAGGGATATGGGCCAAATGCTGGCAAATGGGACTAGATTAATTTAGGATATCTGGTCAGCATGGATTTGTTGGAACGAAGAGTCTGTTTCCATGCTGTATAAATCTGCAATCAAGGCCCATCTCCTAGGCCTGTCTCATACACCCGCCCATGCTACTTGGCCTTTTTCCTAGGTCTGATGCTAGGCCAGCCAGACTCGCATTTTGTTTTTCAGGCGTGTCTCCCAACCCAGGCTCATCTTGACGTACTGTTTCCTAGGCCTGACTCCCAATCCATCTCCTGGGTAAAACCTGTTTCCCAGGTCTCCAGCCCATCTCCATTTCCTAGGCTTGACTCCAAAGCGCATCTGCAGGACCTGCCTCGAAGACCTGAGTCCTAGGCCTGTCTCCAACCTGTCTTTACCTCATCTCCTAAGGCTGTATCATGCACCATTGTCAGACTACTCCCCCAGATTCCCAACTCTTAAATGATCTCCTCATATGAAAGCAGTACCTTGGTTAAAGCACAAAGCTAAATCAATTCCAATCATTACTAAATTAACAAACTCAAGGTACACTTGCTTGACTCATTTCACTCAGGCCTGTCCTCCAGGCCCATTTTGTAGATATCTTTCCCATATCCGTTTCTTATTGTACACACACCTAGTCCTATCAAGCCTAGTCCAAATCTGTCTCCTTAGCCCATTCTCCCACTCTGCTTCCTAGGCCTATCCCATATCTATCTGCTTCCCATGACTATCTTCCAGTCCCACTTCTATATGGCTCTGTTCCTCAGGACTGCCCTATCTCCCAGGAATGCCCCTTCCCTAAGTATTGCCCCTCCTTCAGCTTATCTCCACCCATCTGAAGCATCAACAGAGTTTAGTTCGACATACTTGCCCAAGATGCTTACACTGATCTCTTCGACAAGAGTCAATCAGACTGGAAAAATGAATTATAGAATATAGAACTGTACAGCACAGGAATGGGCCCTTCAGCCCATGATGTTGTGCCAAACCTGATGTCAAATTAACTTAATTCCTTTTGCCTGCCCTTGATCCATATCCCTCCATTCCTTGCATATTCATCTGCTTATCTAAAAGTCTCTTAAATGCCCCTATTGTATGATAGAAACACCTCTACTGATGATAGAATTATGGTCTTCTTCACAATACAAATAACAGGAGGCCAATCAGCCCCTCAATCTACTTCTGCCATTCAATTTTTAAAAGAAATATTCTTTTACGGGTTATAGGTGTCACTGGGGTTGGTGACAACATCTGTGGCCCATCCCTAATTGCCCCGTTGAGAAGGTGGTGGTGAGCTGCCACCTTGAACCGTTTCAGTCTGTGTTACATACGGACACCCACACAGTGCCATTAGGGAGGGAATTACAGGATTTTGACCCAACGACATGGAAGAAACATCGGTATATTTCTGACTCCACGTGCTGTGCGGCTTGGAATTTGTAGCTGGTAATGTTCCCTGGATTTGATTCCTTCTAGATGGTAGCAGTCGTGGGTTTGGAAGGTGCTGTTGGAGAAGCATCTTGTCAATCAATAAGATCTGAAAAAACAGGAACAGGAGTTTGCCATTTAGCCCATCGAGCCTGCTTTACTGTTCAAAGTGACATGGTAAACCCTGTTGCCAATCAGTGGTGGTAGTGGAGGGAGTCAATGCTGAAGGTGGTGGATGGGGTGCCAATCGGGTGGGACTGTCTCCTCCTGGGTGTAAAGCTTCTCGCAGGTTGTTGTTGTAGCAGGACTAGCACCTTATTCCCAACTATGCACCCAAACTGTGTCACCCTGCCTAACAAAAGGGTGGTACTCACTGTTCGTCATATGGTGAGTCAGAAACTTGCAGAACGGAAGCTTGGAAATCCTGGATTACTTCCTGTCCATCCAAAAGAAAAAAGATGATTGTTAAGCATCTCACTCTGTAGCCAAATCAGAAATTTCTCCTCTCTAGCTAAAAGCAGGCAAATTCCTGGTGGGAAATTCCATCATGATATCGTACCCCCTTCAGTTCAGCCTTGACACAGGTGTCTCCCTGCAATGGAAACCCTCTGTCTCACAATGCACAGAAGACAATGGGGAAGAGACAGCATGAAGGAAGTTTCTGCAGTCGGAGCCATCCCCTCTTCCTCTGTGCTACAGTAGGAAGCAATGAAGGCAGGGCTAACCCAGCATGCAATTCAGCCGCGATAGCCATCTTTATTTAACCCTGATGGGCTTCCTCTCCATCGTCTCCAGATAAGTGCTCAGTACGACTCCAAAACAGGACGTAGGTCTCAAGGAGCCCTCCACAACCCCCGCACCCCACATTTCCACCTCCCAGCATCTCTCCTTTGGGTGGGATTCAAGGCCAGATTGAGTGCCAGTGCACTACTCAACCAGGAATGGTCTGGAGCATCCGCGAATCAAAGATCGACACTGAAGAAGGACACTATAGCAGGCTAAGCCCCGGCAGAAAAATCAAGAGATTTTTCTGGCAGAAAGAGATTTTCAAACTTTTACAATTTGTTACTTCTGAAAATACTCATGGACAATGAGGGGCCATTTCATGTGAATCATCCAATTGGATAAACTGAAACTGTTTGTGTTTTTCAATTGGTCGAAAGGAGGTGGGGTGCAGTGAAAATGAATGTTTCAGGCAGCCTTTGGCATGACACGAGAGGCGGGGCTGTTAGGAGCAGGAAGGTCTTGTGAATAAAACCTCCAAAGTTAGATGCCTGACACGATGCCCTACAAACCCCGAGCCCTGCCAAGGCGCTGGTCTGACCTACATTGCACATGTAGTTATGCCAGGATTTGGTGACGTGGGAGATCTTCTCCTTTCTCTTCCAATTCGGCGAGGCACCTTCACGAACAGGCTCCTGCACCAGTTATAAGATGAAACAGAATCAGCCACCATCCCAACATCCGCTGATAGAATCCCTACAGTGTGGAAGCAGGCCATTCGGCCCATTGAGTCCACACTGACCCTCCAAAGAGCATCCCACCTAGATCCAACCCCCCTAATCCTATCCCTGTAACCTTGCATTTCCCATGGCTAACCCACCTGGCCTGCACATCCCTGGACACTTGGGGACAATTTATCATGGCCAACCCACCTAGCCTGCGCATCCCAAGATACTATGGGTAAATTACCATGGCCAATCCATCTGACCTACACGTCTTTGGCCTGTGGGAGGAAACCGGAGCATCCGGAGGAAACCCACGCAGACACAGGGAGAATGTGCAACTCCACACAGACAGTTGTCTGAGGGTGGAATCAAACCCGGGTCCCTGGCGTTGCAAGGCAGCAGTGCTAACCACTGAGTGACCATGACACCCCAACCTCCAATCCTGTGGAATTCTCTGCCATTGAAAGCGATTGAGACCAAAATATTGAATGGTTTGAAGAAGGAGTTAGATATTGTTCTTGAGGCTAAAAGGATCAAAGGGGTATGTGGAGAAACTGGGGAATAAGGTACTGAGTTGAATGATCATATTGAATGGTGGAGCAGGCTTGAAGGGCTGAATGGCCTATTCATGCTCCAACTTTCCATGTTTCTGTGTAACCCTTTACCTCAGGTCACCATTTCTTCAGCCTTATTTTAGGGTATAATCAACCATTATTATGACAATAGCCATATTACTGAGGTAGAGATTCTGTGACACCTTCAATCCGCACCGGAGCAACTGGGGGAAATTTAAGTCAAATTAAATATCCCTCCAAACCTTTCCTATTCATGATCTTATCCAAGCATTTTTTGAATGTTGAAACTGCACCCGCATCCACCACTTCCTCTGGCAGTTCATTTCACACATGACTCACTCTCGGTGTAAAAAATTTGCTGCTCATGTCTCTTTAAAATCTTTTTCCTCTCACCTTAAAAATATGCCCCCGTATCTTGAAATCTAGGAAAAAGACACCTTCCATTCACCTTATCTATGCCCTTCATGCTTTTATAAACCTCTATAACATCACCCCCTAACGTCCTACGCTCCAATGAAAAAAGTCCCAGCCTATCCAACCTCTCCTTATAACTGAAATCCTCCAATCCTGGCAACATCCTGATAAATCTCTTCTGAACCCTCTCCAGCTTACTAATATCCTTCCTATAACAGGGCGACTGGAGTTGCACACAGTACCTCAGAAGGGGCCTCACCAACATCCTGCACAACCTCAACGTAAGTCCCAACTCCTATACTCAATGGTCCGAGCAATGAAGACAAGTGTGCTAAGTGCCTTTTAACCACCCTGTCTGCATGTGATGCAAACTTCAAAGAATTATGTACCTGAATCCCTACAACACTAGCTGAGAATGGCTGAGAAAACCACTCAGTTCAAAGGACTGCTGGCCTTGTCAGCAATATATGTAGGGATGTAAACAAAAAAGAATTCCCAAGATCTTAAGTAAAACTAGAATTGCCTACAGTCCAGTTTGTAACTCAACAGGAGCAGGCCATTCATCCCCTCCAATGTGTCCTGACATTCATTGAGTTTATAGGTGATCTGTGCCTCAACCCATTGCCCCACAATTGCTCCATACCAGTCAATACTATAACAATGTATAACTTTAAACTGAATTTTTGTTTTCTTTTTATGTGTTAAAAAGTGAGATGTGTGGTTTAGTCTCATTTTTGAGTGTTCTTACGGACTTGTACTGAAATGTCTGGAGGTCTGTTTTGTGTCCATGCATTTCATTGAGGTAGGCCCTTGAGGTGAACAGTTCAGTGTAGTAGTTCAGTATTGCTTCCAGAATCAGAGGTCCAATGACAGGGAGAAAGAGAAAAATCTAAAAAAAAAATCACTCAGTGTGGTGTATGCCAGAGAGTGAAACATTTACTGCACACTAAGTTCAGGGAACTTAAGTAATTGTTCTGAATGAAGATAATAGTTTAGTTCGCAGTTTGTTTTAGTCATACTGGGAATAAACATTAGATAAAGGGAAAAATCACCTTGTGACTGCAGAAATTGATTGAAAGGAAACTGGTTACAGCTGTACCAGCATGAGTCTGAGCAGGGAGCCTTTGTGTGAAAATAGCGATATCACTTCACTGATGTTTCAGCGTTTGTGAGGATACTGATGGGGCAAAAGGAATGAATCGTTCGATATAGTTAATATATAGTGTAATATAGTTTGTGTGTTTTTTCTTACTTAATAAATATTTTTACTCTCTGTGTCAAAACTATACTGACAGTCTCTTGTGGATGTGTTCAGCTACTGATTTCCACACTTACATAAAACAAAGTTAGCATTTAAAAGATTTCGCTCTGGGATCTGACTTGTTCAGTGTTAACATCAGCTAGGATCATTAACAATGCCCTTACCAATGAATATCTATCCAACTCAGACTTGAATGATCTAAGTAATACAACCTCCACTCCTGAGTAACACCAGCTTTTTGGAAAACACTCTAGATTTCCATTGCATGTTACATGGATAACTCATCCTCCTGCGTATCTACTATTAATGATCTAACCCCCCACTACTGAAAATCTCAACTCAATCCCCGTCTGTAACGCATTCCGGGCATCTGTTATTCTATATATAAACCTCCTGAACCCCTCAATTCCATTCCAGTCTGTAACTCATGCCTGGGTATCTGTTATTCTATACATAACCCCCCCCCGCCCAAATCCCTTGATTAGATCACTGTTGGTAACTCACTCCAGGCCAATGATTATTCTCTAGTCCGGCTGTTGGCGCTCCCGTGCGTTGCGTACCTTCGAGGCGATTGTGTAAGGCGGAGTGATTTCCATGTTCATTTCCTGAAACAGCTCCCGGCACTGCATCGAGATGAAATCCCCAGCCAGGGGTGACTTGACAATGCCTGGAGGAAACAAAGATGTGAGACCTAATCGGCAGCGGGGGTAGATGACTCAGTGAGTCGGAACTGAGGGGTGGGAAAGAGGTCGAACAATCTGTCTGGGTTCCCAGTGCTGATCAGCAGCCCACAGCCCCTTGCTGAATGAAGCCAATTTACCAGTAATGGCAGCCACAATTCCCACAATCCCCTGTGCTCCTAGAATCCACCATGCAAGGATTTGATGTACAAGTTCCTCTTCAGCCCATCCCGTGAACTGGAATGTAAAGAAATGCACACCTGACGGTCATTGCCAGAAGAAATGGACAAAAATTGGTCACCTTTTCTCCTCACAGCAGATCAACCAACTTTATGCAGCACTAGTCTGACCCCAGTGGCAGGATTGTGCCACACTTTTGAAAGGTTGTGAAGACTTTGGAGAAGTTGCAGAGGAGATTGATAAAACTAGTACCAGGGAGGGAAGGGAATAAAATTATGTAGAGGTCGGAGAAGCTGGGCCTTCCTTCCTTCCAGCACATCAAGTTATGAGGAGATTTGATAGAGCTGAGCAAACTGACAAAAGAACCATGAGATCGGAGAATAGTTCCAGGACAGAAGGAGGTGGTTAGGTCCACTGTGCAAGGGCAGCTCACCTACTGCCACTCCCCTGGCTTCTCTCCAAAGACCCGCATGTTCTTTCTCTCCGGATAATAATCCAGTACTCTCTCTGCCTCCACCCCACTCTCAGGCAGTGCATTCCAGATTGTGACCACTCTGTGTGGCATTGTTCCAGGCTCTTAACAACCCTCTCGCAAGCCGCTCTGTTCGAGATCGACTGTTTGATGCAACTGAACTTCCTCATCACTGCAACCATTCTCATGAATCTTTTCTGCACCTTCTCTATCTTTCTTAAACGTGCACCCAGGTACTGTACTCTGCCTGAGGTCAAACTAGTGTTTTCTGAAAGTTCATCATCAGTCTCATTTTTGTGTGTATATTTATAAAGCCTTGGATTCCTTATGGCTTAGTAAATGCTTTTGACCCATCACCTTCAATTATTTATAACAGGGATGAAACCCAGGTCCCTCTGCTGTTTCACCCCCTTTAGAAGCACACCTTTCAGTTTATATTGCCTCTTCCGGTTCTTCTACCAAGGAAGAAGATGCTGCCCATGTTATGGAGAAAGAGGCAGTAATTCAGGCACTTGAAGGTATTGGATGGGCTGTCTGTACTTAAAGTTGATAAGACTCCACTGGATGAAATTAATAATTCTGTGATTATGAATCACTTTGTCCTTCCCTGCATTAAACTCTGCTGCCGACTTACAATTGCCTTCAAACTGAGCCAAGGCAGTTAACAGTCATTCATGTCGCTGTGTGTCTGGAGTCAGGGGTAGGACTGGGTAGAGGTAGCAGATTTCCCTCCTTAACGGGCATTGAATATGTCTGCACAACTACTGATGGTAGTTTCATGGTCGCAATAAGAACATAAGAACCAGGAGCAGGAGTTGGCCATCTGGCCCCTCGAGACCATAACTGATTTTCCGTTGACTCACCTCCACTTACCCACCCACTCTCCCTAACCCTTAATTCCTTTACTGTTCAAAAATCTATCTATCTCTGCCTTAAAATCATTCAACGAGGTAGCCTCAACAGCTTCACTGAGCAGGAATTCCACAGATTCACAACCTTTTGGGTGAAAAAATTCCTCCTCAGCTCAGTCCTAAATCTGCTCCCCCTTATTTTGAGGCTGTGCCCCCTAGTTCTAGTTTCATCTGCCAGTGGAAACACGTCCCTGCTTCTATCTTATCTGTTCCCATCATAATTTTATATGTTTCTATAAGATCCCCATTCATTCTTCTAAATTCCAAGTCCCACTCTACTCAATCTCTCCTCATAAGCCAACCCTCTCAACTCCGGAATCAACCTGGCACCCTCTCCAGTGCCAGTATATCCTTTCTCAAGTAAGGAGACCAAAACTGTATGCAGTACTCCAGGTATGGCCTCACCAGCTCCCTGTAGAGATGCAGCATAACCTCCCTGTTTTTAAACTCCATCCCTCTAGCAATGAAGGACAATATTCCATTTGCCTTCTTCATTACTTGCTGCATCTGCAAACCAATTTTATGTGATTCATGCACAAGGACCCCAGGTCCCTCCGAGACTAGCTTTCGATTTTAGATTTAGCAATTGAATTTAAATTTTACTGTCTGCCTTGGTGGGATTTGAACTCGTGTCCTCAAACCATTAATTTGCACCTCTAGACTAGTAGTCCAGTGACATTACCACAGTGACACCATTCCACTGACCTGTCTCCTAAAGTCTCTCATTACCGTCCTCACAGTTCAGAATACCTCCTCGTTTTGTGTCGTCTGTAAATTGTGAAATTGTATCTTCATACATTCAAGTCTAGGTCGTCAATATAGGCTATGAAAATCTCAAGGTGAAATTTGGAAATGATTTATTTACATGGCAAGATGTTAGGATTTAGAAATGCCTGATAACATGGTGCCAACAGGTTCAACAGTGACTTGCAACACAGAATTGGACAAATACTAGAATGAAGAAATAAATTGAAGGCGAAAAATAAACTCGAAGAACTGCAGATGTTGGAAATCAGAAACCAAAACAGAAATAGCTGGAAAAACTCAACAGATCTGGCAGCATCTTTGGACTGAAAGCAGAGTTGGCATTTTGGGTCCAGTAACAGTTCTTCAGAATAAATTGCAGGGATATGTGGAAAGGGTGGAGGGGGGAGCAGGGCTAACTGGATTCCTCTTCGAAGGAGCTATTGTATACTCGATGAGCTGAATGGCCTCCTTCAGTACTGAACTATTCTGTGCTTTTATGATTGCAGGATACTCCAGGGAAATAGGTGAGAGTTGGCATTTGGAGAGGCGCTACAGAGGGGCTGGTGGATGGGGGAAGCGGGGGGGGGGGTAGTTGGTGAAGAAAGTGTGTGTTAATATAGCAGGTAGCCAAACAAATGATTTGGGTTGATTGATAAATTAATTGACTGGATAGATAAAACAGGGAAACAATGGTCCTGTGTACAGTGAGACTCTCCCTACTTTTGGGTCAGAAGGCCCAGACAGTCATGGAATGTGTTAGAATATGTGTCAGTGCTTAATACGCTTAATGGTACGGTCCTGGGAAGATTCGCCAAACAAAGAGATCTTGGAGTGCAGGTTCATTGTTCCTTGAAGGTGGAGTCACAGGTAGACAGGATGGTGAAGGCGGCGTATGGTACACTTGCCTTTATTGGTCCAGGAGTTGGCACTGGGAACCTAGACAGATTATTCGCCCTCTTTCCCACCCCTCAGTTCCGACTCACTGAGTCATCTACCCCCGCTGCCGATTAGGTCTCACGTATTGAGTAACCGAGTTGGGATGTCATGTTGCGGCTCTACAGGACATTGCTAAGGCCACTTTTGGGATACTGCATTCAATTCTGGTCTCCTTGCTATAGGAAAGATGTTGTGAAAGTTGAAAGGGTGCAGAAAAGATTTACAAGGATGTTGCCAGGGTTGGAAGGTTTGAGCTACAGGGAAAGGCTGAATAGGCTGGGGCTATTTTCCCTGGAGGGTTGGTGATTGAGGGGTGACCTTATAGATGTTTATAAAATCATGAGGCATGGATAAGTGAATAGCCAAGGCCTTTATCCCAGGGTAGGGGAGTCCAAAACTAGAGGGTATAGGTTTAAGGTGAGAGGGGAAAGATTTAAAGGGACCTAATTTCTGTTTTTCACACAGAGGGTGGTGCATGTATAGAATGAGCTTCCAGAGGAAGTGGTGGAGGCTGGTACAATTACAACATTTAAAAGGCATCTGGATGGGTACATGAATAGGAAGCGTTTAGAGGGATATGGGCCAAATGCTGGCAAATGGGACCAAATTAATTTAGGATATCTGGTTGGGATGGATGAGTTGGAGCGATGAGTCTGTTTCCGTGCTGTACAACTCTATAACATATCCAAACAGGTTGACTAAAAAAAGAAACAAAAACTGAAAGAACTGTGGATGCTCTAAATCAGGAACAAAAACAGAAGTTGCTGGAAAAGCTCAGCAGGTCTGGCAAAATCTGTGAAGTAAAAAAACAGAGCTAACGTTTCGGGTCTATGGAAGGAGTTCTAAGACTGAGTAGTTAACAAACTCTCTCTACATTGGAAAAAAAAGACTGGATTACTGACTAGCTTGGATCTGAATGGACACCGCTCATGGAACCTGTACCCAAGCCAGAGGGGGCACCCATAGGTGAGGCGCAGCTAGGAGGCGAGAAACACAGAAAGGGGGGACGATTACTGAGTAGAACCCGTCCACATTGAGAACAGAAAGGCTCCTACCTTGCTGCAGGACGTAGCCGTCGTGCACAGGAATGGCGGTGGTGTGGGTCGCGCCACTGTCGAGAACGAGGCCTGTGGACCGCCCGTTGGCGAAGCTGTCGCGGTGGGAGAGGGGACAGTTAAGGAGAGATTGCGGAATGCACACCAAAACGGTGAGGCCAGTTGTAGGTGCGCAATGGAGAAAGACACTTGCGTTTACGATTCATCCCGAAGCATTCCACACGTGGGATGTTCAAACCATCCCTCCACAGTCTGAGGTGGATGTTAGAAAACCCCGTGGCCACAAATTCTCCACCCAGTGTCCTTCGGCCAGTATTTATCCCTCAAAGATCACCAGTGAAAACAGGTTATGCTTTTATGGCGTGTGCTGTTTGGTGGGATCTTGCTGTGCGTGTCTTAGCTATTCCCTATGTTACTACAATGGGCACGCACTTCAGTGCCGACTAGGCAACTTTCAAATGCTTCAAGGGAATTAAAGAAGACTTGCATTTCTGTAGCACCTTTTACAGCTTCCCAAAGTGAGATAGTTAAGTGTGGTATCTGATGTAAAGCAGGAAAGGCAATAGCCAACCTGCACTATGACACAAACAGCATCAGGTCAATCCATTTTAATGATGTTAGTTGAAGAATAAACTGGGAGATTTCCCCTACTCTGCTTCCAGTAGTGGCCCAGGATCTGAAGTCTACCTGAGAAAACAGTCAGGGCATCAGTTTAATATCTCTGCAAAAGACATCATCTTCAACTGTATTAGTACCTGCCTATTTGCTGGTCTCGGAGACATTGATAGGTGCCTCATGTCTCATTAATCTTTGAAGTAAGAATGAGCCCTTTACAGGAATAAACATCTGCGATTAAGACTAAAATGTGGAAAATTCTACTTGAGCATGGGTCCCGAGGGATCAGAAAAAGGTCAGTTTTTCTTTGCCTGTTGGGGAACACGGGAACATATCACTCAGTCCAGCTCATGCTGTGGTCAGCAGCACACAGGATCATGTTCCAGACGGGGATACGCGGTTAGGATCGTGTTCCAGACCGGGGAGCACTGTCAGGATCGTGTTCCAGAC